TGTGTGTGTGTGTGTGTGTGTGTGTGTGTGTGTGTGTGTGTGTGTGTATGTGTGTGTGTGTGACAGAGCAGGGAGGGTAATGGTGGGTGTGGAGGTCAGAAGACAGCATCGGGTGGCCTGCTTTGTCACTCCCCGCCTTACTCCCTTGAGATAGGAGGGTCTTTCACTGAAACTGGAGGTCGGCAGGTGGCCAGAAAGCCCAGTGATCCTCGTGTCTCTGCACTCCACAGAACTGGTGCTAGGGTTTTTGTTTTGTTTTGTTTTCTTGTTTATTTGTTTGTTTTATACGTATCTTGGCTCTGGATCCAGGTCCTCATGCTTATAAGGCAAACATTCTGTCCAGCCTCCCCCCATTATGATTTAAGACTGCTTTTTTTCAAGCCCATATACTCAGAGACCCTCATAGACATCCCCTTATTTGTAAGATCTTTGCTTTGGTCCTCAAGTTTACATCCAATATATCCCAATGCAAAAGTCTCTGTCAAAGGCCAAGCTCACTGTCTCAATCAAGATGCAGACCTCTGCCCCAGGGGGCTCTGCTCTCCCGGTCAGAGCAGACTCTGCTGAGAAACGGGGTCATTTGCCTTTCCTGTCGTCCATCTTGAAGTTCCTGGCTGACTGTATTTATTCACTCTCAGCCGAGGCTAAAGCACACTGACCTCCCACTGGGAAGTCCTGTTTCAGTTCTGAGTACACGTTCATGGAGTTCTAGAGAGTAATGGGATTGGAAGAGAAGTAGATGCTGTTTCAGGGCCTTGGGAAGAAAAACGTGGAGATGAATATTCTTCATATTCTGAGTTCTGATTGCTTAGCAGTGAAGGGGTCACTGCCAGGGTTAAGTTGGGAAGTCTCCTGCAAGTTTCCTTGACTCAGATCCTGTGACCAGAACAGGGTTTCTTAAACTTTTCCCATTAGCAACCCGTTTTGGCCTCAAAACTCAAGCAAGAAGTTTTGCTTTTTTCTTTTTTGGTTTTTCAAGACGGGGTTTCTCTGTGTATCCCTGGTTGTCCTGGAACTCACTCCGTAGACCAGGCTGGCCTTGAACTCACAGAGATCTACCTGCCTTTGCCTGGGATTAAAGGAATGCACACCACAGCCTGACTGGCCCAAGAAATTTTTACATGACCTCAAGCATATGTGTGTATAAAATATGTATGCATATCAAACATTTACAGATAATATATTGTACATTTGTTTTAAAATAATTCATGGGTATAATCTTAACATTTATTGAAAACAATAAAAATTTCACACTAATGACATGGACAGGCTTGTTTCTTTTTACATAAGTAATTAAATCTCGGCTGAATATGTGATATTGCAGGACATAGATCATCTTAAATGTTTTTCAGAATTCATCAATAATTTTATTTAATAATTGTTAGTGCCAAAATACTTACTTCATATAAATGTGTAATACAAACTGGCAGAGTATGTTAAGACCATTGTTTTGTCCAAATCCCAAACCAAAGTTCATTTAACCATTTTTAAAAGAAATTTAAATCAGCAACCCAGACAGCAATTTCTAAAATCTACAGTTCCAACACAAGACAGTGTCAAGGAATACCAATTTGATACTAACATGAGGAATGTAGGAAGATAGTAAACGTTTCTGTTTCCTGTTAACTGTTACTTTTCTGTAAGAGCGGGAAAGTGTGTACCGGAAGAACCCTGACGTTCATGGCATACGGTACTGAGCCAAGGTGCTCAAAGGCTGTATGTGTTGGTGCTGTGTGGTATGATAGCCTGCATGGTAAAGTGTGTGTGTGTGTGTGTGTGTGTGTGTGTGTGTGTGTGTGTGTGTGTGTTGTGTGTTCAGATCAAGGCTGCAGTCACCTCAGAGTCCTTAAGTGCTTCACTTAGAATTGATCTTTGCCTGTTGTGAATTCAGAAACTTCGTATTGTTGCCAACTTTTTTGTGACCCCCTATTCAGTTACATGATTCCCTGTGTGGGTGACAACATACAGTTTAAGAAACTGTGATTAGAATAAGCTACAGAAATACTCAAAGATGTTCCTCCCCTCGCCAGCAGGTGGCGCTCTAGACACATGGTTTTCAGGCGCCCTTTCTAGCCAAGCTCCTTTCTCATCCTCTGTTCTTTGCCAGGTCTATGTGCCCTCTCTATCAACCATTCCAACTCCTACCTGGCATATCCTGGAAGCCAGACTACAGGAGAGATTGTTCTCTATGATGGAAACTCCCTGGTAAGTTCACCGCGATCCCTGGTGCACCACCCCGCCCGCCCTGGCCAGCTGGTGAATAGACTTAGATAAGGAGTGCCTGTTGCAGTGGGGTGAGCTGTGGGGGAGGGGGGGGGAGTTCTCTGGTCACAGCAGTTGGATGAGGAGAACAAATGATATTTGTGTTGAGGCTCACAGTATCAGTCAACATCACTGTGAGGCAGGTGCCGGAACAAGGCCAAACACCTGCCCAAGGTGGGATAAATGAGACAGTCCTGTATTCCCTCCCTCCACTCCCTGCGGCTTCCTAGAGCATCACCCAGCAGGGGAGAGGCACTCTGGGAAACCCCTGAAGAAGAAAGCACAAAGAGCCCCTAACAACCTGGCTCTGTATCAGGCACATGGCTGCTCATCCACTTTCCCTAAGGCAGGGAAAGGAACAGACATAAGTTAACCCTCTTCTTCTTTGCCCCCCCCACACACACACACAAGCAAGCACACACGCATGCACACACGTACCCATGCACGTGCACACACAGAACTCAGGGAATGTCACAGAGGATGGGACAGAAAGGACATGAGGCCTAGAAGAAAGGGTGGATTGCTGTAGAACGCTGTCTTGGCGTCATAACGTGGCTGTCACACCCCCAGGCTCTCTGTGCCTGCCCTGCCCTGACTGAGCCTGTCAGCACTCTGTCATTGAAGGCGAGCTTCCTGAGAGCCACCCCATATAGGCTATTAATTTGCTAGGGGGTGTGTGAACATTTTCTTTAGTCGGATAGCCACTGCTGGGTTGTCCATGCCCCTGTGCGTGGCCCTGATTAAATTCATTGGTGACCCAAAACAGAGGGAGTTGGAGGCCAGAATACAACTAGCAAAGCTTGGTAGAAAAGGGCTTTCAGCTTACAGGCAAGTGGCCCCTGGAGAGCAGGCAGACAAGGCAGAGAGCGACGGGGGGCGAATTCCTCTCCCCGCTTCACCAGCACCGATCTCCACTTCTCCCCATACCAACAGAAAACAGTGTGCACCATCGCTGCCCACGAGGGAACACTGGCCGCCATCACCTTCAACTCCTCGGGCTCCAAACTAGCAAGTGCGTCTGAGAAAGTGAGTGTGCTCTGGCTTCTCCTCCTGTGGGGGTTTGCAGGACACCCGCTGAAGTGCCCACGTTGCGGCCGGAACACAGTGATGGCTGTGTGGAGACTGACTGGTCTCTAGGCCTGCTCAGAAGTGGTTTCTGAGCAAGACTATCTGGGCCCTGCCTGTTGTGGTCTGTCAGTGAATTTGTCGTATCAAATGGTGACATTATGCAAGATGCAAGACACTTTGCATAAAAACTTGTGGTCTTATTGAGAAACGCATGTGCCTGTTGTCCCCAGATAAGGATTGATGTTACATGTGCCTGTTGTCCATAGATAGGGAGAGAGATTGGACTCTGTTGACCAGAATAAATAAAGTGACTAGGTTATATTCCAAATGCCATGCAAAGCAGATATATTTTGATAAGCAGAGATAGAATAGTCTAGAAAATCAGGACAGTTTGTGACACCCCCCCCACCCCCCACCCCACATACACACAACCATGCACACACTGAAAGAGACTTGGACAAGGGTAGGAAGGGAAGACAGTATTTAACACATGTTCCAAGAATTCTTATTTGGCACATATACAGATAAAAATGCCCTTGTGCCCAGTGATTTGTGCTTCCTCCTCAGAGACAGGTGTTCAAAGCCAGTAAAGCAAACTGCCCTGAAAAGAGACATTTCTGTGTGAAGCATCTGTGGTTGGAAAAAGTCCACCCGCTCTCTCTTCCAGGGCACCGTCATCCGAGTGTTCTCTGTACCTGATGGGCAAAAGCTCTATGAGTTTCGTCGAGGAATGAAAAGGTCTGTGCTCAGCGTCGGTCCCGTTTTAAAATCGTTCCTGGCAGCCATCTAGGGAGAGGAGAGAGGCAGGCTCTGTGGCCTCCTCTTCTAGAGATTAAGGTGCTTTCCGCGTAATTAACTCAGGGCTACACTGGGGGCTTTCTAAAACCTGAAGTCAGAGCAGACTTAATGCAGGATCCGGCAGATTTGTCCATGGGAGGCCAGCATGGAGAAGGCAGAGAGCCAGTGAATCACAATCCAGAAACAATTTCTGCTTCTCTCCACGAATGAGAAATAAAGGCCCACATCAAATGTCAGTGGCTGGGACCTTTTTGGCTATGGGTTTTGTAGCTGCATCTGTTGAGAGCAGCTGGGAGATGTCTCATGCTAAGAAAGCAGGTCTCCCATCCACTGGCTGGGAGAGAGGGCCAGGCCCTGTGTGTGTTCGTACCTAAGACCATGACTCTCCCCGAATCTCTCCTGCTTTTTAAATATGAATAGCATGACGTTGGAGGGGTTGTAAGCCTTGTCAAGGCACATCTTCATTTCCTCGTGTAGCTGCTCTTAGAACTGTAAAGAGACGACCCTCGTTGTTCTGGCTTATTGGCCTGTGTGTTGCTGTCTCTAGGTATGTGACAATCAGCTCTCTAGTGTTCAGTATGGACTCGCAGTTCCTGTGTGCCTCCAGCAACACGGAGACCGTGCACATCTTCAAGCTGGAGCACCTGACTGACAGGCAAGTGCAGCACCGTGTGCAGAATACCTGCCAGCCTGAAGGGACAGGTCCCCGGTTATGCTGCAGGCACTGGCGCTCACTCTAAACCTGGTCCTGCTGCTCTGCTGCTTTCAGTGTGGGACAGTGTGCGCCCGCAGAACGTCCTGGGGTGTCCCTCACAAAAGCAAAAATCTGGGTCTACAGTCCCCACTTTACATCTCAACTCGGCCCCTTTGGAGCTCTGAGACTCTGGGAAGCTTGTTCAGTCTCCCAGAATCTCACTTTCCTCACCGGTAAAAACTAGCATAATAATTGTGTTTGCACCTTAAGCTTGATGTGCGGACTCAGTAAGTTCGTTGTTGATCTAAAGTGTTTTGTGGAGGGCCGGACGCCAGCATGCTTAAGCTGGTGTAGCTGTGTTAACCAGTGGACTGGCAGCGTGTTTAGTGTCCATGTGGCCCCCAGCTGGGACTGCTCTGCAAGCGCGTTTCCTCCGCGGAGAACCCTGACATCCTTTGTCTTAGTTCCCCCCTCATCTCTGTGGCCATCAGACCTTCCAGAAGTGTGATAAGAGGAAAGGTTCCATCAGGTATTGACCCATCGTGGTGGGGGAGGGAGTGGGTTTGGGGTAGCAGGAGCTTCTGGCTGTGGCTCTTCTCATCTTTGCAGACCAGGGACAGAGAGGACCTTCAAAGGCCCACTCCCCTGGGACCTACTTCCCCTAGCCCAGTCCTCCCCTCCTAAAGGCACTGCTGCCATGTCAAAACAGGGCCACCAGCTTCAAAACATGACCCCAGGGGGACTTTATTTTCTTTAAGTTAAGCCTGAGAGTCTTATTCTGCACATTTCCTCCTATTTCATCTGCTTTCTGGACTCTGCTTCACAGTCTCCAATCTTCAGTGGCTTGTGAAGCTTCTGCCTGTGGTAGCAGCCTGGGCCCTAGAGGCCCGCCCAGCCCTTACCTTACCTTTACCACTGAGGCGCAGCAGCCGGGCAGATGTTCCCAAGGCCCCTCCCCACAACCTCCCAGCCTGTCAGTCACCAGTGTTGAAGACAGGAAACTCATCGCCATCTCCCAGCTCTGCTCTGTGTCAGTGGCCAGCAGTGGCCGAGGGCAGAACCTTGAGTTCTCACCTTGTCTGTGAAGTGTGGGTGTGTCTTGGGCAGTATGGCTTCCATTTGGAGCTTAGTCCTGCCTCACTGGCTGCTGCCCTTGTCCACATCTTCAACTTCCTTATGTTTCTATGTAAGCTCACTCTTCCCAGCTCTCTCTTTAACCAGCTGTGGTGTGAGATAGTGCGCGCGCACACACACACACACACACACACACACACACACACACACACACACACACACAC